TTTCTCAGCTGAACTAAGGCCAACGACATATCAAGATTTCACGACTACTGCAGAGCACAGACATATATATTTATATCAAACGGACAAGTCTTCATTTCTTCAAGTAGGTTCTAAAATTTGTCTGCTCTTTAAACACAAATTTGTTCAGCAAAAATGCGTTTGAAGGGCATAATGAAACCGGCAGTAAGACTCACAAAAAACATTCAACTGTCCGCAGTAACTCTGAACAATTCCCTTCTGTTAAGTTTATTTAAAATTTAATGCAACTCAGGGGCATATAGTCTCCTTATCCGCTGAAATATCCAAAGGCACCAAGATTAATAAGTAGTAAAGTTCTTTCTAAAGAATTGTTAACTCCATATGGCATCACAACGGGTTTACATACATACATATATTAGCTGCTTATCTGTGAGGCGGATCTGATTTTAGGCTATTTCAACCTAACCTTACCCAATCTATGTATCTATGTTTAACAACTCCAGCTCGCGAATATATTTGAGCTGGCCATCCCAAGTAGACACAAATGACTACAGATATTTTAAAATAACTTAATTATTTACTTAAAAATTTTTCCCTAAGAAAGTGAGCTTGACTATGCCTCGGGCGTTTGCTTTCAGGGCAGCTTCTCAAAAATAAGGTTGTGTCAGCATATTTCTCCATAAGAGAACGTTGTTGTTTACGACCTCTTTTAACGCCACAGCCGGTCGACTACTTCTATGTATGTAGCGACCATCAAGATGCATCGCTGCTTGAAAATCTTATCTAGTTAACTATACTGTCTAACTTCGACGCAACTGTGAAGACATTTTCAAGGCCTCTCCGAAAGATGGTACCTTTATAATAAGTTGAAGAAAAACCCAATGTCGCCGATAGCAACCTGCGACAGATTTGTTTACATTGTATTGTTACATATGTTTTATAAAGTCTTTGCCGTATCCTCGTAAATTCATATCGCATGGAAAGCTCTATGAGTATTATAATCCTCTGTTCAAAAGATTGTGAGCTGTTTTTAGACGGGAAACTTCTCACATACATATGTACATTAGACCGTGCCACCTTACAAGGAAAACAAGTCCGCCGTACACCCCTGAGGAAATTTTTTTTTATTCCAAAGTTCATTGACGTCAAGCAGTACTTACTCATGCTTACTTACTTAGAGCACGCCAAAAAGCGTAAAATTAATTTTTTTTTTGTTTTTTGTTTCCAAACCTAGAGATCTTAGAAATTTACAATCGGATCTTAAAGCGTGACATACAGACAATTTTTTTGTTCCAAAATTAGTTGACTTCAAGTACGCCTTCTAGCACTTACACACTACATCTCAGTCCTTGTCGCTAACGTACCACCCTAATGTCAGTAAATTAAAGCTTTAGGCTAAGAGGTGTACGACGAACTTTTTTCGGTGCGGTCTAATGTACATATGTATTTCAAAAAATATAATCGCATATATACGCTTTAATATTCATCTGCCAATACATTATAAGCAGGTGTGCTACGTTTCTTTGAAATAAACCAGCTTTTTCCCATTATACACACGTTCGCCCTTTCGACTTTCGACTAACAAAAACTTTCACGTATCAGGAATTTAAATTTCATAATATGAAATAAATCATAGCTGTCCGTACGCAGAGTCTTTTCTGCAAAGATTAACCACCGCCGCTACCACTTACATACCACCCTCATGCCCGCCTCCTGCATTGACTGAAAGCCAAGATAATGCACAACTTAGGCGCTAAGGCAAAAGCACCCGAATGAAAGCCATCTGCCATTTTTCTCGCAT